GGCGGCCGGAACCGCCCCAGGAGTGCCGAGGGAGCGGGAAGAGGCTCGGCCGGGATTTCGGCTCCCGGCTGCTGCACCAGCACTGCCGCTGGTTGCCTGCCTCTTACACAGACACACACCTGCAAATAACTGCTACTCCTTGTCCCGTGTCTTTGCCTGAAAGCCCCTTAATTTCAAAGCTATAATAATTTGGAGGAAAGTGGGTCATATTTTCCATTCCAAGGGAGGCTCCTGCTTTCTTTAAATGACATCTGTCTTTCAGACCAAGGCAGAAGGCATCAACACTCTCAGTAAGGAAAACACTGGGAAATGAGAGGTGATTTCTTAACCTTGGCTTACTCAGTTGATATCTCTGGTGAATTCAGGTCATACCATTTACTTTATTGTGTTTATCACTTCCCTGATTTCCCATCTGTTTGTGTTTCTTTATAGCACTTATTTCAGTCATTGTTTGTGCTACGCTGGAGACTGAACTTCAAAACAGAAAAAATATTTGTAAGGAATGGGCAAATGCTATATTTGTAAAAAAGTGTATTTAATAATTCCTATTTATCAGTTCAGAGCTGTTCACTTTCACATACTGTCTTAGAAGCTAGTTGCCATGAATTAGCTATCATAAAGCAGAAATCCACTTGGCACTGCCATTATACAAAACTGTAGGTTATCATTTATTAAGAGAAAATAAATTAAAAATTATATGGGTGAAACCCATCTCAGTAGCCTTTGGATCCCTATAGCAGAAACATAGGACACACAGAGAGCTTTCATGTCTCCATTACCAGAAGTCAAATAAAGACCATTTAGTGGGATTCTATCATATTACAGGAAAATACCCACAGTAACTTGAACCCCCCACAGTCATTAAAACAAAATTCCTTGAAATATTAGTCCATTTTTATTGTTTATGTGTTGACTTAACTCAGCTTAGAAGGTCACACTGCCCAGATTGCTTTTTACTTCTGTCTTAGTGAAAGATAAATAGTTTCATTTTCTCACTAATATTTTCAGTTGCATGACCTGATGGAATAGCAGCAGGCTGTCCAGCTCTCTCCTTAGCACTGCCTCTATGTTATATTAATTTCCTGGTCATTTCCTGGTGACCATTTACTTTGTCACTTAACTCTCTGTCCTTCGAGTTTCTCAGGCATGGTCTTTTTTAAATGCAGGATGATCATAACTTTTTTGGCTAAATGGTGGGTAATAGTGTTTTTTTCCCCATCCCCCAGTTACAGCAGGGATACCGGGAATGCTAGGTTGTGTTCAGGGACTGTAATTTCAGCTGTAAATATCTTCTCCAAGCCAAGCAGTTCAAAGATCACTGAAATAAATAAAAAGAGCTTGGATTTCTAAATCACTGTAGCCAAAAACCTTTGGGGTTTTTTGTATCTATCTGAGGGCTTTCTGTAGTGCTTCTTTCTTCTATGTACAAGATACATGTCACAGAGAAACTGCATGTACTAATATTACAGAGGCAGGCCTTTTAGTTATACACAGACATAAAACACACACATAGTTGCAGGGATTTAATTTCTGATATAAATAACACATATTAGAGAGTTTGGCTAAAAACTTGTTAATTTCTCAGCAATAACAATCCCCTTGAAAATATGACCATGGCAGAAAATGTAAGGTAAAAAGCCTGACACATGTCTTTACACTTACTAGAGTACAACAAAGCCTTTTCCTTTTTTTCATCTTTTGTGTGCAGTGTTTTTCTTTGAGGCTTGCTAGGTTCTTTGGACAAAGACCAGTTTTCCTAGCACATACTACTCCAACTGCACACCAGTGTTTTCTGGGGCTACCTACAGTGAGCACAGTGAATGTTTGGGATTAACAAGGCTTTCTGTTTGTGTTAAATTGCATTGCATATTTCAAGGTATCTCTTCTCCTGTATGATTCTTAGATGGCAAAGAATGAGTTTAAAAAGGAACAACTGAAAAGTGAAAGAATCAAATACAAAAACCATCTTTTCTCACCTAGAGAAATGTTTGCAAGAAAGAAGAGATTTATTTCTAGGCTAAAATGATATTCACACCATGTTTGCTTGGAAACATCTTGCTCTTTCAGTGGCATGCTTTTTGGTTGGTAAACAACCATTAAAATTCTGAGCAGATCTGCATAGCTTGCAGGAAAACCTCTCAAAACAGCTGCAGCCTCCTTTCAACAGATGGGAATTAATAATAGCCTTTGTTCTCCGAGCTCTTCCATTTTTACCTACAAAATGGGGTGAAAGTTGCTTTTCCTAGACTGTTGGTGGCCACTCCTAGAGTGGGAGCTGTGGATTGTGGATGAGTATGGGAGGGTGTGCATGGTATCAACCTGTCTTCCCCTTCCCCCCTTCTGGCCCCTGCAGATAAACTGCTGAATCCAGCTGATACAGTGAAATATAGATCTGGTCCCACACCTCACTTCCTCAGTCTTTCCTCTGGGTGTGGTGAACCTATTAAGGATGCTTTTGGTGCCTGCTGTGTCTCCAGGAGATGTGTGTTATTGTCTGAGAATACAGCTTGATGTGGCAGAAGTGCCACAACAGGCGTGGGATTCCCAGCAGTGATGATGGTGCTTCACTAGGATGGATGAAAGGCTCATGTCTGCTAGCAGAAAGAAGCTGATAAGTAGTGTGAGGCATTCCTGAATCCTGGGCATTGAGGAAACCTTTGGCCTGTGTAGGTGCCTGTATTGATGAGTGGTGTTGGCCTATGGGTGGATGTCAGTTTCTCTTTATTGACCCAGAATGTATTGTTTTGACCTCCAGTTACCAATTTTTTGCTAAAATGTCTGGACGGGCTCTAGCCTATGCTTCATAGTTCTGCACTGAAACTTTTGTCTCTTATTGTGGAGGAATTGCCAGGTATGTCTCTTAAGTCGATTTCATAAGGCCTAGAGGCTGACCTGGGCCAAGGTCTCAAGCATCTGGAGTGGCCCTCATCCATCCCTGCTGCCGTACCCTCGTGCCCTGGACTTTTGTCCTTACACTCGCTCTGGGTTGTGACCTGAGCTCCGTAGAAGCTGCCAGCCCCTCTGAGATGTCTCCAGGCAGTGCTGCCCCTCGAGACTGCACAGCATCGAAGGCAAGAGAGAAGTATGCGAGATGCAGAGACAAAATGTTCTTGGCTCCCCAAGAAAATGAGAACCTGCCAAAAATCCCTGGGAGACCACAGCACGCTGCAAAATCTTTCCATTCAGTGGCACTTTCCCACCCTCCCTCCCTGTATGAGAGGATAAACAAGCATGGCTTGGAAAAGGCTGGGGCGGGAGAAGGCCTCGAGGGGTCTCCTGCCGGCGGGGTGGGGGCAGAGAAAAGCAGG